ATACATTGCCATTAATCTCCCTCAAAACACTCTCCCTTGCTTGGAACACTTACTTATCCCAGCACTCTTGCCACTTTCTGAAGCAGGTCTGGAGGTTTTCTCATGAATGTCTTTAGTTGTGCCATCATAGCCACCTTGATATTCTGAGCCAATTCAAAACATGTACCTTTCTTTTTTTTTTGGTTTTTCTCCCGGTACCGGGAACTGAACTCACAGCCTTGCACTTGCCAGGCAGGCGCTTTGCTGCTGAGCTAAATCCCCAGCCCCATCATGTACCTTTCATTGTCATTTTGACTTGAAACAGCCAGAAGTTGCATGGTGCCAGATCTGGTGAATAAGGTGGATGAGGGCAAGAACAGAACTGGCCCTTTCAGAAGCAGAGTGTGACACAGTGTTGCTATGATGGAGGATGAAACCATTTACTCATTTCTTAGGGTGTTTCTACATACATCATTCCTGTCAAATAAAAATATTACGGTAAAAGTAAATACTTTCAATTGATTCCGGACATCGAGGGAGCCACGACTGTGCATCTGAAGACACTCACGAAAGAGGACTACCAGAACTGCTTCAGAAAGTGATGGGATAGGTGTGTTTAAAGCAAGGAGAAGTATTTTGAGGGGGCTTAAAAGACAGTGTGTCTTTCACTACAATAACATTTTTTAACATTCACCTTATATTTTGATCACACTGCATATATCAAAATTTCATTTCTTTTAATGGTTGAATAGTAATATGTAAAACAACATTTTGCTTATCTTTCACCTATTGATGGACATGGCTCATTTCCACCACTTGGCTATTGTGACTAATGCTGCTATAAACTTAGGAGTATAGATATGTACTCAAGGCCCTGGTCTCCATTCTTTAGGATGTATGCATAGAGTGGAACTGCTGGGTCATAAGATAATTTGATATTTCTACCATCATTTTCTGTTCTGCTTATACCATTTTATATTCCCTCCAGCAATGCAGAGGGTTCCAATTTCTCCATATCAGTCATGGACCAGAAAAAAGTTCCAGCCTAGCTAGAGTATACATAGTGTCTACTTCTATCTTGAAATAACAACATTTTCACACAAATGCACACTGCGTATGAGGCAAATCCCCGGGTACATTTACCTCCGTGACCTGTTCTTGACTGGCTGGATGAGCGGCAGATAGCCGGGATGTAAGAACTGAGCGTGACTCCAGGATGGCTCTGTCCCAGTGTGGCTGATGGTTCTCTGGACCCCAGCAACGCTCCTGGGAAAGAGAGGTAATAAAATCTACTCTGTGAGGCTGTTGTAGAATTCAAATGAGAAAATGTATGCGAGTGGCACACATTAATATGCTGATGAGCTCCAAATCTCTATTCCTGTCACCTCCCCTTCCAGGCACCTGCAAACACCAGACCTGCATACCGATGTCTCTTACTTGGCTCTGCATTTGAGTGTACAGGGCACCTCCTGCTGCTGGTGTCCACGGCTGCACGCCCTTACACCTGCCACTCGGCTGTCCTGCCTCTTATTGGCTCGTGGCATCTCCATCCCTGATGTCATCAATGAGTGCTCACCTTCCCCAGCACTGAGCCTGTGAGCCAGTGCAGTCACTCTCCTTGGGAGACACATTCAAGATTTGACCATTCTCACCCGACCCCACGACTCTCCTGGTCTAAGCCACATCCTCTCGTACCTGCATCTCAGCAATGGCTTCCAAGAAGACCCTCCACTCGGTCCCCCTGATTCCTATCCTCCTGTCCCCTTCCAGCCAGCTCACCTCTCTTCCCTGAATGTCTTTGGGGCCTTTGTGCTGTGGTTTCCTCTGCCTCACTTGGCCACATGGCTAACTTCTCATTTCCTCCAAGTGCTTACCAAAAAACCACAGTGTCAGGAGGCTTCCCTAGATTCGCACCTTCAGGGTCAGTACCTGCCTGTGGTAGGTCATTCCCCTTCCTTGCTTTGCATTTCTTCTATGTTTTTACCACTAGCCTACCCTATATTTTGTCTTACCCTATCACTTATTGTCTGTCTTCCTATCAGTGCAGATCAGTTACGAAGGTCTCTGCCACAGCACCCCAGTTCTGCAAGGATGGTGATTTTTGTTTGTTTGGTTAATTTTGTATCTCAGTGCTAGGGCATGGCCTGGCACGCGGTAGGCACTTAATGAATTTGTTAGTACAGCATTTTCCAGAGGAGAAATCTGAGACTCAGCACAATTAAATAATCCACTCAAGGTCATTTAGCCAGCAAGTGGCCAAGTTGGGGAGTTGGATGTTCTGTGATGCTTACAACATAAAAAGCCCATTTGGCAAAGAGACAGGGCCAGAGGAACAGCCCCGCTCCAGCCCCCTCCTCCCCCAGTTGTAGAAAGGAAGTGTTATCCACGAGGAAGGACTTGGTGCTGTAGGGCTCAGTGGAGGTTTTCTGTGGCCCCTTGGTAAAGGAGTTGGGATTTGAGTCGGTAAGCACGAAAGACACGGGGCACCGGGTGGGAGACTGGTGGGCTGGCGACCGTATTAGATGGAGGCCAATGGCCGAGGCATTTGTCTGCTCAACTGCCCATGCAGCAGGAATCCTTGTAAAGTATCAGAGGAGCAACTTGACAGCTGCAATATAATTTGACCTCCTGCCATTTAGTTGGAGTTAGGACAGTGATCTTTTCTCCTTTTCTATTTTTTAAGACTGTCCTTTTTGCAGACTGTGGTAGTACATGTCTGTAATCCCAGCACTCGGGAGGTTGAGGCAGAAGGATTATAAGCCTGGGCTACACAGTGAGTTCAAGACCAGCCTGGAGTACACAGTGAGACTCTGTCTCAAAGAAAGAAAAACAAAAACGTCTGTTTTGAGGAAGAGGGAGTTTGGCTGGCAAGTGGCCGTGCTGCCCAGTAGAGCCCAGACTTCCTCTGTCACACTGGAAGCCACGTTGCAGGTGCCCGTCCTCCTCAGCAGCCCAGTCCCCTTGGCGGAGTGGTGCCAAGGCTATCAAGTGGCTCCCAGACTGTCCCGAGGGAGGAGGCGGTACAGGCCCAGAGTGGAAGCCAAGTCCTGGGCTGTGCTCATGCGGAGAAGGCTATCGCCAGGCTCAGGCAGGGTGGGCCGTTGGAGTGTGGCCTTGGCCCTCCCTGGACACCATGGCACTGCCCACCTCAGGGCCTTGATGGCCGGAGCAACCTGCCCTGAGTTGGCTGGAGGATTGGCCAGGAAGAGGATGCCACACTGAACCCTCTGGCACGCACAGAGCCGGCTTTTGGTGCAAGTGCTTTCTGTCACCTTCTCAGGAGCCATGTAAGGTCAGAACCATGGCTTGGGAGAGGCTGCATGGAAGGGCCCAGTTGGAAGCAGAGAGTGGAAGGAGGGGAGGGAAGCCTGGAGTGGCACTGTGCCTCCTGCTGGCCACATTAAGCTGCTTGCAGCAGCCCCTGCTCTGGGCACCCTGTCCCCCTTCCTCAGAGCTCTACCCTCTCCCGAACTCACCCCGTCCCCAGGCCCAGGACTGCTACATGGCTGGATGCTCCCCTGCCCATGCGCCCCCTTTGCAGCTGTGCTGCAGCCCCAGCTGTGGCCCTTTCTGGACATAAGTCTTGCCCACAGTCCCCAGCCCAGGGCACTTGGGGCCTATGGCTGAATGACATGGCGACACCTTTCATGTGAGGGCAACTCTTATGGCATCCAGCCCAGAAGACCCTCCTGGAACCTCGGAAGCCCACTGTGGGTGAGCGAATCCCTCTGCCCATTGTAGCTTTCTGCTCCACCTTCCAGGAGGGTGTCATGGTGCCCCCCAAGGCTCTGCACATGGCCCTGGGAAACCCACACCAAGACTACCAGCCAGCCCCTCCTCCGACTTCCTAGGTGCCTACTACCCACTAAAACACAGCCCTCCTCTATCCCAGTGCCTGATGGATTAGTATGTTGCCCAATAAAAACAATACGTTGCCCCAAAATAGTGATTATAGGAACCAACACTTCTGTACAGCTAACGAGCTACAAAGCACACTGAGGTGTGTGGTTTCATGTGTAAGGCAGGGCAGCATGGTGGAATGCTACTGAATTTGAATTTTGGCCCTGACCCCTTGTTAGTCTTGTGCCTTCAAGTCAGCTGCATAACCCTTCTCTTTTTCACCTCAAAAGTGGGAATGATGTTGACCACTTCCTGGGAAAGTTTTAAATGAATCAGCACAGGTAAGGTCTCCTAATAGCCCTGCCGTGTGCTAGGTTCTCAGTAAGTGTTTGCCAGCTCTATGGCCAGAAATCTACCTAGCAACGGTTTGCTTTTTGATCATTACTTTTTATGTGGCCACACCTGTGTCTATACTCACTGTGTATTTTTTATGCTGGTTTGGAATGTAATCTCTGATGGGCACACATTTTTCTGAGAGTGGAAGTTGTTTGTCTTTTGAGCAAGCTCAGTGAGTAGAGCAATGAAAAGTAAAATAAAAGATAGACTAGGAAATGGGGAGAGAGATCTCTTGCAAAGGGAAGGAGGCCAAGAGAGAGAGGGAGAAGTAAGAGAAGGGAAGGGGAAGAAAAGAATTAAGGTGTGTTGTGAACATACACCACCTCCTCACAAGGGATGTACTGAAAACCTGTACCAATAAAAGTTAAAACTTTTTAAAAGGAGAAAACCTGACTGAAGTTGACTGGCTGATGAAAGTGCTCTGCAGGACCTATCTCAAACCGATGGCTTGTAGGACAAATGAATCTCTAAGACACACAGGTTTGGCAGCACCGTGTTTATTTTACGTGGAAATTCCTCTTACCTGTGCTGCAGGGCTGACCACTTCCTACAGCTGTCTGCCTGTCCCATTTCTCAGACGTGTGGTCCTGCCTGGTCTTTGGAGGTGTGTGTGGGCATCTGTCTGCACGGAGGAACACAAATGCAGTTCTCCTTACACAGAGAGGGGCAAAGGGGTTGAGTGGCCCAAATCCCTGCTTGGCCGTCTCTCCTCTTCCCCTCGCTTGCTCGGAAAGTCCCCGCCTCTGTCATCATGTGGCAGTGATGACAAATGTCCTGCCTCACAGGTACTACAAGATCTCCGTGCTGCTCATGTGTTTTGTGGTCCCCACGCTGGTGCCCTGGTACATCTGGGGAGAGAGCCTGTGGAATTCCTACTTCTTGGCCGCCATCCTCCGTTACGCCATTGCCCTCCATGGCACCTGGCTGGTCAACAGTGTTGCCCACATGTACGGAAACCGGCCCTATGACAAGCACATCAGCCCTCGGCAGAACCCGCTCGTGGCTCTGGGTGCCATTGGTGAGTACAGCATTGGAACCAAGGGGGAGAAGGGCAGCCCTGACTTTACTGACTTCTGAATGGCTTATGGATCAGTAAAGAGAGGGCGTGGAATGCTGTGAACTTGAGTTTTGGCTCCAGAATCCTGGCTCTTGGGTAAGTCTTATGATTGCCTTGATTTAGTTTTTTATCTGCTAAATGGAAAATAGCAATGCCTACTTCATAAGAATACACGGTGTGATAAAAATAGTGAATGATTATTTGTATTTTATTTGTAATTATACTACAGTAAAAGGCACCAGGAACCCTCCCTTTCCCACGTGATCTTTTGCTTCAAACACCTCATCCCCTCATTCTTTCGGAAGCAGTTCTGGAAGTTTTTTTTCGTGTCTTCAGTTGCACTGTGGCGGCTGTCTCAGTGTCCCGAATTGATTCAAAATGTTTACCTTTCATTTTGACTTTTGGGAAGAGCCAGGGGTCACATGGTGCCAGATCTGGTGAAGAAGATGGAAGAGGACAGACTATTTATGAGCCCACCTTTGTGCTGGATGACACTCAGCAGCGGCACTCACTGTGTATCTGATTACGCTTCATAAAGACATGAAAGAGGTCCTCTAGAACTGCGTCAGAAAGTGCCAAGAGTGATGGAATAAGTGTGTTTGATGTGAGGGGAGGTATTTTGGAGGAGATTAATGGCAGTGTGCCTCTCTGTAATTTTAAAAATTGAAACATTCACTGAATGTTTTGATCATACCTCATACTTACCTGCCTGAATAACTCTCATCTCCCCCTCCCACACTCCCCCACGAAGTCTTCCTGTTGTCACTCCAGTCTGCAGAGACTAGTTTCCTTCCATGAACATACATCACAGTGATGATCTCTTACCAGCCACATGGCATGTAGAACTCCAGTGGGTATCATGTAGCCTGCAGTTCCTGTGGGAGAGTTAATCCAGGGACCCTGCTGTTTTTCTGTTCATACTTAATTTGTTAGCCAACGGAGGAATTGCTTGTGAGGGCTGGAACCAAGTCTCTTGCTCCTCACAGTCTTTGACCCTCAAAAAAACAGGTGATAAAACAGTGTGCCCCAGGGGGTGGTGATGGGATTGTTTCAGTGCCGCTTTGTGTTGCAGGTGAAGGCTTCCACAATTACCATCACACCTTTCCCTTCGACTACTCTGCCAGTGAACTCGGCTTGAATTTCAACCCGACCACGTGGTTCATTGATTTCATGTGCTTGCTGGGGCTGGCCACTGACCGGAAACGGGCCACCAAGCCCATGATCGAGGCCCGGAAGGCCAAGACTGGGGACGGCAGTGCCTGAAGCTGGGACTGCGACCACCATAGTGCATAATGACATCCTGGCCTGTGGCTTTTGTCACTGTCGTTCTCTCATCCATGGAACCATAGGGGAGGGTAGAAGCGGGGAAGAGGAGAAAGGAATGTATGTGGTTGGAAAATTTTGTATTTGTCTCAAAATAATGTCAACTACAACTGTCAATGAAAAAACTAATTTTAAGTCAATATTAATACTATGATGTAACATTAAAACCTGGACATGTGATTTTACCACTGTAGTGACAGTATGTCAAACATACATTGTTATGTGCTTGTACATGATGCTAACCCTGGCAGGATGAATGTTAAATTCTTCAGTGGGACCCAGGAAGCATTTGTTTTATTTTCTACCAATTAATCCAGAGTTGCTTTTAAATGTACATAAAGGAACAGAGAGACAGGATAGAAGACAAAAGCAGAGGGACTGCAGAGTAACTGGAAAATGTTCCTGGTTTGTAATTACTGCGTCTGTCTGGTTTGCTGTTTGTTTAAGTGAGAGAACTGACAACCTTAAAAACTGAGGATACAGGAAACAGCTTTTGTATTTCGCTCCACACAGCTCTTGTATTTCACTTTTTACCCTGTTTGCAACTTCCCAGTGTTCTGCTGTCTTTCCCTACCTGGCTATTTTTATGTCCTGAACCATACAGTCAGCCCACCCCATAAATCAATACCTGTTTACGTGTTCGATTTTGTTCTCTTTGCTATTGTTGTTTCAAAGGTGTATAACTCAGACATGCTAGCCATCAAATTAAACTTAAATTAAGCTCACATTCAAATGTTTAGACACTTAATTTGTATTCTAATTGATCACAGCCATCGATGCATGTAGCTGCTTCTACTTAATAAGTGTATTAATTTTCCACACTAGGCTAGCCGATCTTAATAACCGACAGCTATCTAGAGCTCTGTCTAGTAATGCATGTAGCCATCATTGATTTTGTGGCAAAATAGAAAGTGATTATTATGTAGCATCTGGATTAAAACAATTTCTGTGTGTTCAGTTGCCACGTAAAGCTCATATTGAATTAATGGGACTGCGTGACCTTTGTGTTAGGTGTTAGGGCAAAAGAAAGGCTTTAGAGTGTTGGTGTCAGAGTACTTTGAAGATAGATATTTTCCAGAAAGATGTAGTATTTAAAATTTACACTTTAGGAAAAGAAACGACAGTAATTAGAAATTGTCATAATGAAGTTTCTTCATCCAGCAGGTGTTTAATAGTGTTAATTTTGTCATTAATAATGTGTAAATTATGAGTGATTTACAATAAATGATTATGCATTCATTGGTGTTCTCATCCAGATACTTAATGTTGCTTAGTGGGGGTTTTCAAGAGGACCTCATGGTTTATGATGAGCATTTGATGTGGCTCAGGATTACTGTACTAAAAAGGCCTGGACCAGGTCTCCCCATCCTTCTGCGGGAGGCACAGCCTCCTTCCTCACTCACCAACACTGTCACGGCTCTGCTCTAGCTGATAAGTGGGAACCTCTGCTCCTCCCTGTCACCCAGGGACATGAAGGGCACCTTTCTTCCCCAAATTTTGCCACTGGTGGCCCAAAGTGGGGGCAATGGACTCCCCCTCTCACCCCAGTTCTGAGTCTTTCAACTTTGCCTGTCTACCCCTCAAGCCTCTATCCTTGCTATCTGATGTAGACTTTTTCGCCTGCAGGGGAGGGGATTCCAGTCACTGGTGGGACCAGAGCTTCTCGGGTAGGGACCCCTTGGATGCACACGCCTGTGGTGTTCTTCAGCCCCTGCATATTCCAGTCACACACATGCAGGACCTTGTGTGGGATGTCGGCAGAGTGGAGTGTTCCAAGGTGAGTTTGTATCAGGATGACCTAAAATGATCCTGATTGCGAATATGAATCTTTGACCCCAAAAAAGACTAAACTTAACTTGTCCATGAATACAAATAATTACATTTGGAACGGGCATTTGAAATCTCCTCATGAAAGCAGCATATTCCCAGCAGGTCTAGCCAGACCCTCTCTCTTATGAACCTGAGTGGCGTCTCTCTCTGCAGTGGTACCTACGAACCACAAGAGTGGGACGAAGGTCAGATCTTTCTAGTGTCTTTCATATGAATGTCTTTTGCGGGTCTCTAAGGGAAGAAAGAAGCCCTGGCAAGCATTTCCCTGGTCCATCCAAGATGGCCCTAGAGACACTGCTACATTTTTTGAAAAGTTCAGGGTAAACTTTCATTAGCGAATGATCTCCCCATATCCTAGCTGTAATTTCAGTCCTACAGGGCTCACTGTAGAGGTACTCCCCATGCATCTAGTCACCTCCAATAGTGTGGGTATCATGACAGCTACAGGGAGCTGGCCCAGGACCACGGAGCCAACTCAAAGGCACAAGTCTGAGATATGCTACTGACTATCTGTGTGAACTTTAGAAAAACCATTCTTTCTGGATCTACTTTTCTTATCTGCAAAGAGAGGGAATTAAATAGACCCTGTGTAAAGTCCCCTCAGCCCTAACATCCAGTGGCAGCAACCAGAAGGACAATGTGCCTGAATTTATATTTGAGACTTTTCTCAAATCAGCACTGTTCTTTCTGGAAGCTGGAAGATCAAAATTGAGGAGAAATAATTGAATAGGAGAACAGAGACTGAGGCTGAAAGGTAGAATGTTTTTATAGAAGGAAAGAAGAGAAGAAGGGAGAAAGGAAGGGAAGGAAAAAGGAAGGAAGGAAGGAAGGAAGGAAGGAAGGAAGGAAGGGAAAATTTCATTTGTTCCCAAAGTATTATAAAGCAATAAAATATAATCTACATGAAAAACAACTTGATGAAAGGAAGTACTGCAAAGAGCTCTGGGACTTAGTGGAATGGTAGAAACCACACTGGACTTGGAGTCTTCAAACCTGAGTTTCACTTCTAATTCTTGGTCTAACTGTTTCCTAGGGTGTGTTTTTTGGATGAAACCCTTGAAAGTGCTGCTTACCAACCTGCTAAGCCTGTCTCAGAGTCCCCATTCCCTAAGTGGGAACAGCCACAGGTAGATGCCTCAGAAGAATCTAGAAGCTTCTGACTGTGCCTGGTACATGAGGGGCCCCAGGAGACATCAGCTGAGGGTAGTGGCCTGTCCTAGATGCAGTGCAAAGTGGGGTGTCCTGCACAGGGCTGCATGCTGGAAGTGGGGAGCCAGTTCTGGGCCTGGCTGGGCTGTGCCCTAGCACTGGGCTGTAAGTGTGACCTTCCCGGGTCCCTCGTCTGGCCTGCACACTGTGCAGTGATGCCTGCGTCCATCAGCTCATTGCTGTCCCTGTCTAGAGCGGGGATGGAAGCGTGAAGGGAAGAGGTCAAGCACATGGATAAGAACGAGCTTTGGGGATCCCCTCTGAGGTTCCTTTCAGGCCCAATCACAAAGGAGAGGGAGGCCAGCTGTGTGCTCCGTGGCTGCCACTGTGAAAAATAAGGAAGAAAAGGAAAATCCTCGCCTTTACCACCACCCCCCTTTTTCTCATTTGCCCATTTTTAGCTCAGGGTGTCCGTCCCAGCCCTTTCTTTCCCCTTTCCTCTACGTCAGGGAAGTGCTGTAAGTGACCCGGAAACTCCTCTCCTTGTTCTCAGTGTCCCTATGGACTTCAGAGTCCCTACCCCCGCCCCCCGGGAACAGCCTTGATTTCTAAATTTATAACAGAAGAGAGGAAGGAAAGCCTAGGTCTTGGGACACCTGGGACCCAGCAGGCCTGGCAGCCCCAGCAACAACCGTGGCTCCGTCATCCTCGAAGCTGAAAAAGCAGCCAGCTGCATCCTATCTGCCACTCCTTCTGGACTCCAGGGGGACATGGCAGCCCTCAGGGGCCTGGGCTGCTAAGGTGGGGACACTTTTCCCTGGCCTATGCCTATGAGAAAAAAAAAAGATTTTGTCATGGGCTGCTGATCCAGGACTGCGTACTGGGATTAAACTCTGGTCCTTTACAACGAGCTACATCTCCAATCCTTTTTATTAGTTTATTTGAGACAGGGTCGAAGTCACTAAGTTGCCTAGATTTAGGTACAAACTTGGGATCCTTCTGCCTCAGCCTTGCAGAATGCTGAGATCACAGGCATGTTTCCAGCATGGTTCTGCTTCCCCAATGCCCCCTCCCTTCTGCTTTCAGTCCTCTCCCAGACAACCTTCCATGTCCTTGAGAGGAATTTCAGAAGTTACTTCTCTGCAGGAAACACTAATCTGTGGGCAGAGCCCACAGCCCTGGTGCTATTCCTGGACAAAGAAACTGGGCCCAGCAAAGTACCATGCAGTGAATGTTTTTATCACCAGATTTTAGGCCCATAGTAAAACACAGGTGCTGTTCATGGGGGACTTCCCTGTCCTGGCAGTGTAACGACACTGTGCAGGTGGGGTGGTCTGCTCCATGCTGAGGGTGCGGCGGAGCTGAGGGAGAGAGTGAGTGGCCATGTGGGTAGTGACTTTCCAGATCCTGTAAATAAGATTTTCACACCTGAGGCAGAAGGACAGGGAGATTTGCTTTCATTCCTTCCTGGCCCTGCAGTTGGTACCATGAATGTGGCAGCTGTCTGAGCTTCTCTACCTCCTCAGAACTAAAAGGCACTGGCGGGGGGGTAGGGGGGTGGGGGGTGGTTAGCACCCTAGTGTTTGTTCCAAACGTGTCAGCCAATGAGCTCATTTTCTGCAGCTCTTGCCAAATGGAGCTGTTTGCAATGCACAGGATGGAAATTATCAGCTCATCAGATGTGTGCATGGTCCCACTGCAGCCAACCTCAGGGAAAAATAACTCAGCCTGGACAATGCCCTGGGTGGTTTCAATTCCGTGTTTTATAAGCAAGAAGCTAGGATGTAGTCTTTGTGGGAGAAATCTTTAAACAATAATGGAGTAGACCCTTTTCACCACTTTCTCAGTCTAACTTGAAGACAGGGGCCTGGGTCAGCTCTAAAACCCTGAAAAGCACAACCATTTTGATGTGGTTTTGTTAACAGCACTTTACCTCTTTGATCCATGTCTACACAGCAAGGGGATATTTAATTGTTAATTTGTTAGGTGCAACTGGCTTAAGGAAAAATAGGCAAAACCTCTACTTCATCATTTCCTCTACTTCTTTATCAGGAGCTCGAATTATTTCTTAGGTCTCCCTTTAGATCAACCACAATAGGAAGCATATAGGCTTTCTTTTACTATAATACCTGAGGCAGCTTACACAGAGAAAGAGTTCGTTGTGGCTCATGGATTTGTTGGTTCTGTCCATGACTCATTGGCCCTATTGCTTTGTGCCTGTGGTGGCCCATCATGGGTTTGCATATGACGGAGCAAAGCCACTCACCTCAAGGCTAGGATGCAAAAGAGAAAGTGGTTGGGGTCCCACTGTCTCCCTCAAGGGCACAATCCCAGTGACCTGAAACTTGCCACTAGGACCTATCTCCAAAAGGCACTGTCTCCCTTGGTATGACAAACTGGGATACAACCATAGCATCCCATGTGGCTCCCAAAGGCTTGTGTCTATCTGACAAAGCAAAATGCATTCAGTGCATCTCCAAGAGTCCTTTCAATCTCTTACTCTTCCAGTGTCACTCAAAAGTCCAACTCTAAAGTCTCTTTTCAAGGCAAACTCTTAGCTGTTGTGAGCCCCTATAACAAATCAAAAATACAAGTTACATACTTTCAGCATACAGTGGTGGAACAAGCACAGGGTAAACATTCACATTCCAAAAGGAAGGGACCAGAAATAGCAGAGAGGGATCAGACCAAAGCACTACAGCTCTGTGTCTGGCCCCTGGGACACATTGTGGTGAGATGTGGGCTCTTGAGGGCTTAGGTAGCTGCCACCCCTGGTACCCCATGGCCTTGCTGGTTGCAACCCTCAAGGCTCCTCCATTTCCTGGCTGGCTGTGCTTACTGCCTGCAGTTTTCCTCAGCAGCTGTTCCATATTCCTGGCATCTCTGACTTCCTGGAGTCTCCACTGAACCTTTGGCTTCACTCTTCACAACTCTATGTATTGCACTCCCAGAGGCTGATAGGGACTCTGACCCTGCCACACACTGCTTGACTTCCTTTGAAAACTGGGTAGAAGCCTTCATGACCCCACAACTCTGCATTCTGCATGTATGGAAAACCAGCATCATATGGATGATATAAAGATCATGCCAAAACTGAGTAGCTTATAGACACAGGAAACATTTACCTAGACCGTTTGGAGCCAGAAGGTTGACCTCAGCCTCTTTTCTCGAAAGACTCTGAGCTAGAAAGTCTTTTAAACAAATTTTTATTCTACATCTCAGCCTGTGACGGGTGTAGCCTCGCCCATACCTGAGATGCC